ACGCAAGAAAACAGGAAGACAAAGAGACGTAATGAAAACATTGTGCGCCACTACCCACGAACTTGGATCTGATTGTTTTTGTGAACGTTTTCGCTGCTTTACTACTCTTCCTGAACCTGAACGCTGCAAACTTATTTGTGAATTTAATGAACTAGGAAACACTAATGCACAAAACGCTTATCTTAGTTGTCTTATCACTGTTCTTCCTGTCATGCGTAGACGTCCTCGAAAAAATGAAGCAGAGTCAAGGCTTAATAATGCTTCAGTTAGTTATCGTGTGCGATTGGTTGAAAATAGAATTAGACGTGATGTTCCAATTTGTCTTAAGGCTTTTTTGTCTTTACACGAAATTACAGTTCGTCGAGTTCGGCACATAAGAGACTCATTAGTTGCAGCTGGGAAATCGCCCATCGACATGCGTGGAAAACACAACACACGACTTCACAAACTTTCAGAAAACACAAAACAGAAAGTGTTTATTTGTACCCTCATTTATAAGGTAACCGTTTTTTCAGGACTTCATTCAACATTTCAATAGAAATCACTGATATTCAGAGAGCTTTGACAGGTTCCGTCAAATTGCATTTCGATAAGGTATTTTCCCATTGGTCCAAGGGACCGTTAAATATCAATGTTGGTGAAATTGACCCTTAATGTTGTAGTTTATAGATATATGAACCACCGTTTTACATACACATCATCTGTGTGTGCGCGATACTTATGCATAGTATTGGCGATCATTAAGCTATAGTAGAAAGTATCTGTACCTATGGCTCAGAAATATCTGACATGACGAAAAGAAATAAAGAAAGGTTGATGTACCTGGAAATGGATTACTGGAGAAGAAGTTGCTTAATTTCCAGACTAGATCATGTTAGTAACGAAAGAATTAGACAAATTATGGAATTAGACCGCAACATCTTGGAAACGATTGAAACAAAAGGATTATTTTTGTATGGTCACCTTCAACAAATGGATGGCCAAAGAAAGTATATGAGTGGGTACCACCAGAGCGTCGCAAGCGTGGTAGACCTCCTAGAAGTTGGAAGCAAGATGTTGAAGAGTCCATGACATCCAGAGGTCTCTCAGAACACAAAACAGAAAGTGAACGAGTTTATTAAGAGCCTCAAATGATGCAAATCTCATTATTTCTTTGGCAGATTCGCAAAAAGTTTACCTACCTGAAAATCTAAATATCGCAACATGACAGAAAATGCATGCTATTGGCAATGTTGAAAACAAGATTTTCTATGAATCCTTCCGAGAAATCTTTGAAAGCAACTTCAATATATCGTTCGGTTATCCACTACAAGATACTTGTAGTACGTGTGATTCCTTAAAAGCTGATATATCTTCACTTACCGCTACCTTAAATTCCCACACGGAACAAACTATGCAGTCAGCAAGTAATAATTTGGAGAAAAAGATACTTGAGAAGACACTACATCAACAAAGGAGTGAGCGATTTTACAGTATAAAGAGAACTTACCGCAAGCGTGCCTCGAAGTTCCCGCTATCGAAAGTATCACGATGGATTACAAAAAAAACTTGCCCTGTCCAAATATCACGACAAATGATGTTTACTATAAGCGGCAACTAAATTTCATCAGTTTTAACATCCACATTGTGTCAAACTCAAATTCTATCTTTTATACCTGCGATGAATCTATTGCTAAAAAAGGAGCTGACGATGTCTGTTCTATGCTGTATCACTTTTTTTATAACATCCTGCGTATGGAAGTAAAAGAACTTGCCATTTTCTGTGACTCCTGTGCAGGGCAAAATAAAAACTTTACAGCTATTCGCTTTTAGCATTACTTGGTTACCAAGAAAAATCGTTTAACTACGGTGAAAGAAATATTCTCGATCAGGGGGCATTCATACCTCAAGTGTGATAGAGATATGAGTCTCGTGAACCAAAGAGCATACACTGAGGTACCGGATGACTGGAGAGATGAATTGAAAAATTGCCGTGTGAAACCAGCACCATTTGAAGTCATTGATTGTGGCAAAAATTTTGATTTTCAAGATTGGAGTACGTTTCTATCGCCGTTTTATCCAACGAGGTGCCCCTTTCCAACCCGAACACTCAGGATGCTCAAATTTTGTAAACAGAATCCTCGCGTAGTTTTTCACAAATCACATACATGGGCCTATATGCTAGTTCTAAATTTGATAAGGTAATTCGGAAGAATCTAAAAAAAACGTAACAAGATCAACAAAAACGAGAAGAGGGAACATTGAGAAAACTTTACCAGGGCCCAATCCCAATTAAAAGTAAGAAATGAGAGGATCTGCAGGATCTGACCAAATTTCTAGAGAGATCAAATTCCAGGGCATTTTATGAACAGTTAATATCTCTTGATCATCCAGAAGACAAGAGTGATGAATATGTCTACGAGCCGCCAATAGACGCTTAAAGCAGCGGAAAAGTCCAGAGTTGAATATCATATTTTGTTTGTTACGTTCCTAGTTTTGAGAAAAAGTTTTGTAAAATCTACGTAGTCATGCCATAAGTTCTGTCCCTCGTTTTCAAACAAGTGTAGACCTGTTAATACTTGTCCGATTGTTTACATTGTGGTGTCAGTTGATTAAGCGCTTTTCGGGTAATTACATATACCTCAGTTTGTATTGATCTCTCGAAGCATAACGATGGAGTGGGGCAAGGCAGAGAACCGTATTGCAGTGATAGCTTTACATAAGTGTAATCACAGTGCTAGTCAGATTTTTGAACTCTTACGCGGCCTTCAAATATCGCGTAAATTTGTGTCTAGGACCATTCAGCGGTACAATGAGACGTCCTCTGTTGATGACAGGCCAAGAAGCGGAAGACCTCGTCAAGTAAGGACTCCAGCAGCCATCAAAGCCGTAAAAGCCAGGATTCAAAGGAATCCACTCCGGAAGCAGAAGATCCTATCCAGGGAAATGAAGATTCCTGTCCGGACGATGTCGCGCATCATTAAACAAGACCTAGGGCTAGGGGCTTACCGGAGACGTACGGGCCAGCGACTTACGGCCACCTTGCGACACATCAGGGCGACAAGATCCAAGAAGCTCTTGGAGAGGTACGCAGCTGGGGGATTCCGAAAGATTTTGTTCACGGATGAGAAAATCTTCACCATAGAAGAAAAATTCAACCGACAAAATGACAAAGTGTATGCAAGGAGTTCACAGGAAGCTTCGGAGATCATTCCGAGAGTTGAGAGAGGCCACCACCCTGCGTCAGTCATGGTTTGGTGGGGGGTGTCCTACGAAGGGGTCACTCAGCTCCATTTCTGTAAACAGGGCGTGAAAACAAAAGCGGCAAACTATCAGAGCGACATACTGGATCCTATCGTCAAGCCTTTAAGTGGTACATTGTTTGCCAACCAACACTGGGTCTACCAGCAGGATTCCGCCCCCGCTCACAAGGCTAAGAGTACGCAGCGCTGGCTGGAAAGCAATGTGCCAGAGTTCATTGCTGCGGAAGATTGGCCCTCAGGGAGTCCGGACCTCAATCCTTTAGACTACAAGTTGTGGGACCTGCTAGAGCAGTTGGCCTGCTCCAAAGCCCACCGTAATATCGAGTCCCTGAAAGCGGATTTGATCCGATCAGCGGCAGCTATTCCTTTGGAAGCTGTGCGTGCAGTGATAGATGAGTGGCCCGCGAGATTGAAGCAGTGTGTGAAGGCCAAGGGGGGACATTTTGAATAAAACTGTTTGATTATGAATTCTAAAAATGTTGTCGAATAAATAATATCTTTCATATAAATATATCTTATCTTGTTTCATTTTTATCATGAGATTATCATGGGACATAACTTATGGCACGACTACGTATTTTACCAATAAACACACTGTTTAGCAAAGATATTCTTTACGACTTATTTTTTCATCAATTTTACTTTCCAACAAGTAAGTAAACCTTAATTACGGATTTTCTCAAAATCAATCCGGATGGACTATTGTCGTTATTCCCCGGTACCCTTCATGTGATAATGGAAGAATAATTAGTGAGTTTTTCGAAATTTACACCTAATTAACAACCGATAGATCCTTTTTTCAATCTTCGCAGGTATTAGTTTTGAATTTGGTTTTATCATCTACAAGATCAGTTTATGATACTTGTTTCCGATTGGTCAATTTTCGATGAAGTTTTACGAAAAGCTTTCTAATTGGTCATTGTTGATCCGTAACATAGGTTTTGATCTCTGCATCGAGTGGAAAAATATGTATTTGTAGCTAAAGCAGGTGATTTGTACAGAATTTCTTTGTTTAATATGGGGAACTCATATATTTTTTTGCTAGACAGGCATTTTACAAGAAATCGACTATATTCATTTGATCCATTACTACAATAGGCTGGTCTATTATGATCCGGATCAAGGTTTTAGATTCCGCCGGTCAATAGTAAAATCGGACCTTAAGCGAGCTGTCAAATAAAAGTTTTTTTTTTTTTTTTTTTTTTATACTCCAACTACCACGAAGGCCTAAGGCCTAAGCACCCATTGGGTACCGTGGGGCTATAGGGGGATACATGGGAAAAGTGGGGACGCCACACGGACTCTGGCGAGGGAACACGTGTGCATGCAACATGCACACATTCTGGCTCCGCCTACGAGATCCGCCGGGTGGTACCTCCGCGTTCGACAGTCAGAGACCATCTTACACAAATGGGCATTGAGTTCTAACGAATCATCAACATTTACCAAAATGTCATTCATGGTGACTTGTGGTTGTTAAAAATATTCAGATAAGCACGAACTAATGGTGCAAACTGCTTCAACCGCTGCGCCAGGAAGTACTTTCCATTATGCAATCTCTTTACACCATAAAAATCTCGAATATTCTATGCATTGTTAGTGCTGTTCAGCGGAGGAAAACACTCCAACTTATCGATGACACTTCGTCCACTCGGAATCTCAAGCCTTTGGCGATTTCGCGATCTTATACCAATACACTAAAGGAATGTCTTCATCTGAGCTAACCCTCAAATACACTTCAAGATACACAGCTACCACTCACCTCACTAATTTAACTTCAAACCTATGCTTCCTATTGAACTCCATGAAAAACCTCATCGCCCACAGATAGTAGGATTCGTCGTGCTGCTGAGCCCTGTTCCTCACAAGGTTATCCTTGACATGGTTCATAACTGTATTGTAAGCGCCGTTCAGGAACTCTGCGCAGAAGTCTTTGAGGAAAAGTCGCACCGCGAATGCCGACCTTCGTTCAGTTGATGTAGCTACGAATGGCATTCTGTGCCTTGGGGTCTTCGGTTTCTGCTTGTCCACGTCAAAGCTGAGCTTGTCCAGTTTGCCTAAGGGTTTGTGGTAGATCAGCGCGTTGTCGCTGATCGATTTCATGTCTTGGACGACGAACGTGCCGCCGAACGAGGAATGTCTGGAACAAACAATTAAGCTACTGAATCATTTGATATTTTCAGAGACCAAATTGTTTTAGGAAGATAAAATACTAATTTGTACGTTAGGCATTCATCGCATCAACGAAGTACGTAACTACCTTTACTCAATGTAAAAGATATCACTACTCCTTAACAAAAATTCACCATATTATGACTTTATAATTAATAAATTAAATCAAATACGACGGATGTCTTTTAAGTTTTGCATACAGAAACAAAGTAGGCCGCGCGGATCGAAAGTCAGTACTGAATCTTAACCTCACTCTTTAGTAAACTTGAATTGAAGTTTCACACCAATCAACTCACTACAGTGAATTTGTTAGTGTCACCAAGTCATTAAAAAAATGGAAACTCAACCTGAAGAGCAGAAAGCAGCCAGGGTTAATTGGTGTCAAAAACGCTTGACCGTTTCAATTCCGGAAACTCAAAAAATGTGTACAGCATTGCTGGTGGTGATGAATCGTGGATTTACTGTATGAACCAGAAAATAAATGACAGTCGGCTGTTTGGGTGTTCCAAGGTGCAGAAAAGCCAACAAAAGTCATCCGTTCTCGAAGTCTTTCGAAAAAGATGGTCGCGACATTTATGTCAAAAGCGGGTCATATTGCAACAATTCCTCTTAATGAGCAAAGAACTGTTACTGCGGATTGGTATACCACCATTTGTTTGCCAAGAGTCATCACCGAGCTTCGAAAAATCAACCCCGAAAGATCAATCATCATCCACCAAGACAATGCAAGCTCGCACGCAGCCCAAAAAATAAGGCAGTATTTAACGGAAGAAAACGTGGAATTATTGGACCATCCTCCATATGGTCCCGATCTAAGTCCTAACGATTTCTTTACTTTGCCGAAAATTAAAAACAGACTGCGTGGTCAAAGTTTCCAGTCACCAGAAGAAGCAGTTGACGCATTCAAAAATTCCGTTTTGGATCTGCCAGCAAACGAGTGGAATAAGTGCTTCAAAAATTGGTTCGAGCGCATGCAGATGTGTATTAATCTTCGTTGAGAATACTTCGAAAAACAATAAAGCCATTTAAAACTACCTACCGTGTTGTTTTATTTCCATATGCAAAACTTAAAAGTCATCCCTCGTATAAAGGAAGGTCACGAGCCGTGGTTTGTGAGGTTTGTGTAGTAACTGCTAAAAGTCATTTGTGAGTATGGCTTTAGAGTTATTGACGCTTCGGATGTTAATAAAGATCGTTCTTTCCTGTCACGCAATCTCTAATTGCTTAGAATATCAGTAGATTTTATCGTCTGATGGTTATTGAGGAAGATAGCCGACCCATGCGAGTCAGCGAAACAAACATATCTCCGAGAAAAGGCGGAGAAAAAGTCTTATGCAAAATTTTGCGGATTCGCGAGTTTCTGCTGCCACAGCCGGTCCTGACTGAAACCGGACCTCGGAAACAGCCTAGTCTGCATTAACTTAGGGGAGATTTGACTACATATAGTATTGAACTGCATCAACGATTGTGACGGACTCGAAGGCTAAGGCGGAAGTGCTTGCCAGGACCTTTGCTGCCAACTCCACCATGGACGTTCCCCCCAACGCCCGAATGCCGTCGATACAAAGGGATCCCTACACTATGCGGGAAGTAACATTCAGACGGGTGCTCTTGGCGCTCAACACAGTTTCTCGTCCGGACTTCATTCCTGCCGTTGTATTGAACAGGTGTGCAGAGGAGCTTGTTCCAGCTCTGTCGCGTCTCTTCCAGGTATCTTACGAATCCGGCACCTTCCCAGAAAACTGGAAATTCACTCCTATCCCAAAAAAGGGGTCTGAGACTGACCCTTACAACTACAAGCCTACAGCTCTGCTTTCTGTTATAAGTAAGGTGATGGTGAGTTTCATAAATCGCGAGCTTCTGGACTACCTCGAACCTTGATTAGTGACAGGCAGCATGGTTTTCGGCTTCAGGGTACCTCCCAGCTTACGTCATGCAATTGTGGAATAAACTCATACAGCCCTACGGTGAGGCTCATGTCGTTGTTCTTGATATCACGAAAGCGTTCAATAAGTTGTGGCACGCTGCCCTCTTATGCAAGCTTCCATCCTATAGCCTCCCAGATAAGCTTTGCAGATGGATAGCTGACCTTCTCCCTGGTCACAACGTCACCGCGGGTGTCCCACATGGATCGGTCTTGGCCCCGGCACTTGTTCCTCTTACATATCAATGACCTCCTTTCCTGCACTATCAATCCAATCCACAGCTTTGCTAATGACAGTACTCTACATGCAGGTATTCAGAGCGACAAGCCGATCTATGCCGGTGAGCTGGGAAAAAAGAAGACTAGCAGCGACTTCCTCTCTAACGAGAGACCTGAATGTTATCACTGCTTGCAACAATCATGTACAGTTTAATGCTTACAAAACACAATATTGTTCTTTGACGAGCAAATAGCGTCCTTGCGCTTATCGGGTTACGATGGATGGCCGACTTGTGCCAAAAAGCCGGTCATTTTGCCTGGTCGGAGTCCAGATGACCGAGGACTTGATCTGGCACGAACACATCTCGTCAATAGCAGCAGCTGCTGGGAAAAAGCTAGGCTATTTGTTTAGGGCTAACAAGTACTTTTCTCCAAATGACCTTCCTCACTCTATATAAGGCCCAGGTAAGGGTATTGCCCACAATGCAGGGTGCTGCCGCCCCGACCACATTATCCATGCTCGATGCTGCCCTTCTCTTATAGACAATCTCGGGGCCCTTTCGCACCGGCAGGCTGTTGGCGACCTAGCTGTCTTCTACTGCTGCACCAACAAGCTTTGCTCCTCAGAGCCTCCATGATGCCGCCGCGCGAAGTGCCTGCCAGACAGATCCGCCTAACTTCGGCCCCATCCTAACCGTGTCGAACTTCATACATCCAGAACTGGACCATACGACCGCTCCTTTGAACCTGGGGTGACGAAATTGTGGAACAATCTACAATACGAGATTTTTCCCAGTTATACTAACCTTAGGCAGTTCAGAAACCAGATTAACAAAGTTTCTTTGAGATCCTCATAACAGTCCTTGCATTTAGGCTTCTGCCTGCGCGGCTGGTTCGGTGTAAAAAAAGGTTACTGGTAATCTCGCATGTGTTCGTGAAGGAGATTTTGTGCATCGATATACTTCCCTCCACTCTCGACTCGTACAAACCGAGAGTGGAAAAAGTTTACTTTCGGAATTTTTATTACACAAAGGGTCCATCATCATGTTTTGCATAGCCCAGGTGTGGAAACAGGTGAACCTTTTCAAGACACCCTGCAAACAGTTTGCGAGTGGCACCGTCTTTATCGACTGGTCTTTATACGGCCTTCCTGTTGTTTGTAGATAATGTTAAATAGACCTAAAGTGGCCGGTTGGCGGGCTTGTACCGCTATCCAGCAATCGGTACTGAGGTGTTTCTTAACGCGTGTGCAATCACTTGCACGGGATAAAGCGGTATACTGTACTGCCATGTATACTATACTACAACTATTTAAAACTGTAATGACTCACACGCGTGATCAACACGTGATCAGAGCTCGATCCCGGCTTCCTTCCAGTACAGCCGTATAGCGTACGACATATGTCGTTTCTGTGGCTTTGCGGTGGTCAACAGCACAGACAGAGATGGAAATAATGGCTGATTGTTCTCCGCCGGTAGAACCAATGAAATCAAAGACGCGCCTCGACCGGCAGACTCATAGGCGTCGGCAACACATTGGAACGTGTTTCGTTAAGCGATCGCATATTGTGTGTTTTTATAAGAATTGTTGTGTGATTGTTATTGTTGTGGTTTCTGTGGTTACTGTTTTGGTTATACTTAACCATGGAGAGTACAAATGGTACGAGTGGAAGTACTGAAAGCCAGGGAACAAGTAGACGGCTTCGTAAAGCACTGAAGAGGGACGCGAAAAAAATCGTGCTCAACGTGTTCAACTATCTGAACAGAACTATGTCGCAGGGAGATGCACTCGCGCGTTGTGAAAGTATGACAGGCGTTCCAGAGTGGACCATTCGCAGGGTGGTGCATGAAAAGAAGAAAACTGGAGCTATTACTGATCCAAAGTTTAATTTGAAGGGACGAAAGGCCGTTAAATTGGATGACGACAGCAAAATGGCGTTAAGGCGAACCGTACATTCATTCTTCTTTAGGAATGAGATACCAACCCTCAAGGCTGTACATGCAGCGATCAAGGAAAATGAAATTATACCCCAAATGAGCATCGAGGTAATGAGGAAACGCGTAATCGGAAGTCAGTATTGATAGAGAGACCTGAAATAGTCGCCTGGCGTCGAAAATACCTACGCGAAATGATTGAATATAGGCGACAAAGCAGAAAAATCTATTATTTGGACGAGACATGGGTAAATGCAGGTCACACAGTTAAAAAAACCTGGATAGACAAAAACGTAGTGAGTAACCGACAAGCAAGCATTGAAGGTTTGTCAACAGGTCTTCGTGGACCGTCAGGGAAAGGTCAAAGATTGATCGTAACTCATATTGGTAGCGATAGTGGCTTTTTAGAAGAGTGTCACTTGATTTTCGTCTCTAAGAAAGGAGGTGATTACCATGACGAAATGAATGCCAGCTGCTTCGAGAGCTGGTTTCAAGGGGTGCTTCAGCGAGTTGAGCCCAACTCTGTGATCGTCATGGATAATGCTTCCTACCATAGTCGTCGAGCCGAACGTGTACCGACTATGGGATCTCGAAAAAGTGACATGCAGCAATGGTTGCGCGAAAAAGGAATCCCGTTTGACGATTCATGTGTGAAAGCGGAATTGTATGAAAAAATTAAACAGCACAAACCTGCGAACATTAGTTACGTGACTGATGAGATGGCCCGTCAATGTGGTGTCACTCAAGTCATCGTTGGTTGTCAGAGCGGTCCGTGGGACCTAAGCTCTTGAGTCACAGTGTCAGTTTGTAAGTCTGTCAGGTCTGGTAACCCAGAAACCAGACAATTTTAAGGAACATGTGGTGTCACTGTGCTGCGGTTACCGCCCTACCACTGTGAACTGAACCCAATAGAGCTCATCTGGGCTCAAGTGAAGGGTTATGTTGCGCGCCATAACACAACCTTCAAATTACCAGACGTTAAGGTTTTACTTGAGACTTCCATACAGCTAGTAACGCACGAAGCTTGGCAGAATGCTATCCGTCATGTTGTGAAGGAAGAAACAAAAATGTGGTAGCTTGACCACCACATTGACACCATCATAGAGCCAGTTATAGTCAATTTCAACGAGGAAAGCGATAGCGACAGTTTATTACTGTCAGATGTAAGTGGAAGCGACGATGAATAAAGGTAATTCCCGAATTTTTTACTTACAATATGTTTCAAACCACTCTTTATTAAGCATGTGACAAATCTAGTTCACCCATGTTAAACATTCATACCCCGCCTATGAACAGCCGACTACTGGTAGTTAAGTGATGTTCACGTGAACATCGATGAGTCATTACAGTTTTAGATAGTAGCATGTATTAGTTGAGCAAAATTTATCACAAGCCGTGAAATCAACTAGCACTACTCGGATTCACAAGGCAGATTTAAAATTAGGCGAGCAAGGGTTGAAAATAGTCACAGCTATACAGGTTGTAAAGTTGCTAGTGAATCAACGGAAGTCAGGTCAGGGCCTCAATTTCATGGACAGAAATTTTATAGGTCAGGAGATTTGCAATTTTGTGAAATTATGTTCGCAATTACAACTAAACCATTAGGTTTAGGGCTGTGATTTTTTTTTTGAGGCGAGTTAAACAGTTAGTTTTAGCAATGTTTATGTCACTTTTTAACAACGCTAATTAGAAATCCACGCAAAAAATATTAAATCCATTTTTTTGTGAAAAATTACTTCCATCCCTCAACTTTGGAGAGCGGTAAAAAAATTAGACTGTATTTCATTATTAATTTTATTCTAAAAACTATTTCAATCCCTGTAGAATACACCCTGACAATTTTAGCTTGCTACGATGAGTGCTTCACCTTAAAAAATCTGTATGTTTGATGCAGGTGGGTAGGTATACATGTAAACAAGATATTCTATTTTACGAGCTACAGTCCAAACGACTTGATGGATTTTGACACATAAGGTTCTGTTAAATTCGTCCTAGCAGTGCGAGTGATACTGTCTGTATTAAAATTTTGTAAAATCAAAATGCTTGGGCATTCAACTCGGCATTCCAGGTGCGGGAGCGTTCAATCTTCGGTCCGACCGAAATTACTAATTCAGGCAATGGGTCCATCGCGGAATGTGTATGTAAGAGATAGAAGATAATAATAATAATAATAATAATAAACGTCTTTATTTCCAAATGGACTGATTGTATAAAAAAATAGCCAAATACGGGCGAAGTTCAGCTGTAGCTGCTCTTCCACTTAACCCGCTATAAAAAAAGTCCGTACAAAAGGTGAGTGAGACCTACTTATTCTACACATTACAAATATTAAATGTATATGCATTGCCTACATTAATACATCTACTAAAATTAATCATAAACTTGTATCAATATTTTCCTGAGACATGGTTACTACTGCTGGGATAAGAGATATTTTTTTAATTGAGTTTTGAAACTTGAGATGCTCAGAGTTTTATATTGTACCGGAAGGGTAACGGAACAAATTTGGTAGCTGAACGATCGTTCAAATTGGGCTGTTCGGAATATCGGCGGTGTCAGCAACCGCCTGGATCTTATATTGATGTTATGCACATCTGTTCGAAATGTAACTTTTTCAAATAAGTAAGTGGGGGTCTTATACATAATTATTTTATGATATAATGTTGCGGCAAGCAAAAATCTTCTTGTTTCCATGTTCAACCAATTCGCATCTTTTAACTTATGGGATATTCGGTCTCGTCTTCTGATGCCATATATTAATCTGAGGCAAGAATTCTGCGCAACCTGAATTTTTTGTTTGTAAGTGGCAGTTAAGCAACCGAGACAGATCGCTCTATAAGCTATAAGCGCCAGAGCCATTGCCCGAAGCAGAAACATAACCAGTACTTCAGTGCACACAGTACTACGCTCCGAGAACATTCATCCTTACCGTGTACAAAAAGTACAAGAATTGCTTTCAAGAGACTATGTACAACGGGGTGAATTTTGAGAGAATATGTTGAGAAAATAGTGCCCTTCCTGGGCGTTGGATAGGTAGAGGTGGACACATACGATGGCCTCCAAGGTCACTCGATTTATATCCTCTAGATTTTTTTATATGGGATCATTACAAATGTCAACGAACGGTGCCAAGAAATTGATGAAGTAAAAATAAAAATTATGGAAAACGCAAATTAATTTCAAAGACTAAGGGAAAATTTTGAACATGTTCTTTAAAAGTTAGTTAAATTAAATTATCTTCCACATTTGTCGGTAAATTGCCATAAAGAGCGGAGATTTTTCACAACAAAATAAATTTGAGATTTTTTACGTTGATTTCTAATAGGCTCTGTTAAAAAGTGACATAATAATTGCTGAAACTAGGCATTTTGCTCATCAGAAAAAAAAATCACAGCCCTAAACCTAATGGTATATTTTTAATTGCGATTGAAAGTTCATTATCCCGTTTTTGTTTTTTTAATTTCACAAATTTGCAAATATTTCCTGAACTATAAAATTTCGGAAGACACATATAGGGGTTCATTCGATAGGTTTTGAGGCCCACTATCACCTGACTTCCGTTGATCCACTATTAACTTTACATCCTGTATATGAGTACTGCCATAGCCGTGACCATTATGCATGGCGGTGACAAATTATAACAGTTTACCTCGGTCACCTTTCTGACTGAAACGTTTAATCCCAACTAACAATTATCACTCCTATTAGAGTTGCAAGAATGATTATGTAGTATTCCTTACACAGCATTGTATACTGTAAGAACATTGGCAAAACCCTCTTAGAAGAGGTTGTATAAGGGCTGCAGGTAACAGTTATACAACAAAAGTGTAAGCCTCTTGCAGCCGCTATAGGACATTTGCAGAAGTGCAAGATTCAGTTTTTGTCAACTATACAACTATTCTGTTACGTGATTCTACTTTCTTGCAACCAAACTATTTCTTATGTATTGTATAGACGAAGTGAAGAATATATAACTAACACAATACAGTCATCTTGTTTACTTACATATTGGCCATTGTGAATTTCATACACAGATATATGATAAGCTTCTACACTGTGATATAGGGCTATTGAATTACTTGCGCAGCAAATTTTATTGTGATTATCGTGCAAAGTAGTTACGCAATTTCTACGGGCTTCGTATTTGATTCATATTTTGATGATGATGTCTAGATTTTTAAGATGGAAAACTGAACTTATCTGCGTTAAATCTTCCACAAATCCTATATTTAGACACAATTACACTAATGTTTATCACTTGATATCTGTAATTTTGAACTGAAACATAATTATTTAATGTCAAATAGAGGAATAAATGTTTTCCCAATATGGCGGGCGATTGTGTATAATCATGGCATCGTCCATGTTGTCTTTAGTTTATCAAAATACTTTGGTGTTGCCTGCAGGTGTTATACAACAATTTGACAAATGTCAGAAATAAAATACCGACAGAGTCGAATGATTTAACTAGAATTTGTACCAGATCTATATCTTCTGTTTGAACAGTTGATAAAACCTTTTTAACCAATATACATGCGTTGTTTGTCTTAAAACATTGGTTATGGCATTTTAACAAAAATATGTCAGCAGAAAGTTAGGTTATGGTGAAGTTGTATACCAACATATTTAGCATATCCACAGCCTTTAACAGTTACTAAACAGCAGTTGTATAAGTGCTTCCGTTGGGAGCAATTTGTTGGCTAAAGTAGTAAATGTGCACAGCAAAACAACAAGGCTCGGGTTTGTTTTATAAACGTTACCATGGATGCCACGACACAACCATTTTGACTAACCTGCAAATATGCCGTACAAAATAGTTGTACAAACGTTTATGCAACAGTTAAAAATTTGTCCTATAAGGTGTTGTGTAACTATGCTATAAGAATATTTTAAACACCTCATTTTAGAGCAAATATGTTGCAGAAAGCAAATTTGCATTCCACACAACATTAAGCCAGCATTTTGGTGTTCAGGCAACAACAATAGAGAGCTTTTATAGCTGAAGGGTTCTTTTACCAAAAGCTTACAGCACTACCTTGCTAGTTGGGATAACTCAAATGTTAGTCACATAGACCAATCCAGATATTCCGATCTAGTCACGTACTTTCAAACCTTAACATCACTCATTTCGAAGTATTCGATTCCATCTCATGCCGGCCACTTGAGTTCATAAGCTTATAAGACGGTGTACACAAAGCTTCCCTCACAAGGCGATTCGTTTGATACCCCAAAGGCTGACCCCGCAATAGGCCGTTTCTTCACAATCCATCATCCTCCGAAAAGAATCTACTCGTATAATCTCTTCCCAAATCCAATAAATATTCCCTTCGGCAAGCACTGATAAAACTTAACCCTTTCCTTCGTATCGGTTACCAATTGACCGTCAAATATAAGCTTATATTAAGGCCCGCTGGAGGCTACACAAAAATCCTCAGATAAATCCAAATAGAAAACGAGAAAGCCGATATAAAAAACCGCCTGATTGATTCGCTTTTATTTACCATTCGGAGATTTATTTATTGAAATTTATATCGGGCAAATATTTATCGTACCTTGTAAGTATCTATTCAGAGAGGGAAACGAAAAACGGGAGAGAAATCGGGGTAGGCGAAGTGAATTTTATCCTCGGAGTTATTTTTTTTTTCGGTTACGTATCGAATGGCGGATGACAAATTTATAGCGGATGTTAGAGCTTGGTGTTCATATGATAAGCCTATTTGGATGACGAAAAACTCTATTTTGTGGAGTGGAAGGGTTGTTTATTTTCTATGCGTTCGTAAAATTTGATTTTACAGGGTGACTCGGTTCGTCATGTCTATAGAGGTGACATTTAAGGTCCAATACATCATTCCAAAACGTCACATTACCTATTTTGAGCCCACTGCGGTTTTCCATATTAGCGCCGAGACCTTGTTATCAAATAAATATTTATGGATAGAAATATCACATCTTTCGGATGCAATATGAAGTGTATAAAACGAAAAACCGTATCGTTCTAGACACAGATAGTCTAGCGTTAGTAGTTTGAAAACTGGGGATAGGTCAAGTCATAATAGTTATCAGGAGATTACAAGAAAATATGAGTCGTGTACTTTTCAGATTATAGGCTTAAAAAAACAGGAAATCGGAAAAATCTGTGATGATCTTTTAGTTTCCATTACAACAGATTTCAATTCTTTCTTAGGCGGACATTCTACATATACATAGTGGCAACAAGAGAGATAGTAACTGCTGTTTTATTAATTCGTGGATGTATTTGGGTATTCCTCAGCAAATTTCGAAATTCATGTCCTGAGCGATTAATGCTAAGTTGCATGGATTTATCATCAATTTAACATTTTTATTATATCAATAAGTATCTAAACCATTGATTCCCAAAGTGGTCTATATCGACCCCTAGGGGTCTATGACAACCTGCAAGGGGTCTACGTCAGCGAAAAAAAATTTGGGGGTCCATGAAATGAATATGGGGGTCCACGATAGTGGATCTCAACACATACACTGATAGTACCTATTTACTTACATCATACTATCTTATAATATCAAAACATATACATTATTTATAAAAGTACCTATGAAGTAAAAAATTTATTATATATGTTTATAAAATTGTGTAAGTTGTAGGATGTTGGTACTCGCTTTGTGGTCGCAATACATTTTGAACTTATAAAAACCTGAGAGTCGCAGTCTCAGAGCTTCGCTACCTTGCACTGACTTGTTCAATTCGTCACTCTATCAATACGAATGTGGGACAAGTACGTTTATTCGTTTCCTGAATCTTGAAAAGGAAAGTGATAAGAAAATATTTAAAAAAATATAAACAGATAGTATATCACACAAATTATAGTGAGCCAGCGTTATTTTGTTTGAGAGCGCTGGAGAAAATTAAGTACATACATTATTTTTTATTAAATTTTAGTTTTGTACTCGTAGTTAGCAAAGATAGATAAATTACGCCAATAATGACTTTAGTTATTAGTAGTTAAATATTCAATCATGCAAAATTAAACGAGTACTCCTCAATGGTTTCTTTTTGAAAGTTTTAGCAATCGGTAATATAATTACAGTGCAATCTCCGTAATTCGAGCTAATTGTTGCAAGAAGATGTTCGAATTATGGAATGTTTTCGGAAAAATCAAAAAATATTTTTAATATACAGCTGCTGGATTTTCTGTCTTATTTAAATAATTTAATTTTGCCCACAGATGACTGATGCCATGTCCGAATCTAAAAAGAAATGTAGACAGTACAGTGTTGATTATTTGAAATTTGTCTTCATTCCATTATTTCCGGACAAACAATCGCCTTTGTGCCTTTTTTGCAACAAAGTTTTGGGCAATGACGCTATAAAACCATCTAAACTGCAAGATCATCTGAGATCTGAGAAGATGCCACCCTGATAAAACAGAGAAAGATTTGAAATACCTTCAAACACTCAAAGATAAATTTCAGAAGAGACCTACACTGGACAGAATGTTCGCTTCGACGCAACAAAGAAATGATGATGGTTTGCGGGCGTCTTACAATATCTCGTTACTTATAGCAAAATCCGGAAAACCGCATACTCTCGGAGAGAAGTTAATTTTGCCAGCCGTTGAAGAGGTTTTAAAAACTGTTTTACACAAACCTGCATCTGATATCATTAAAAGAATTCCCTTAAGCAACAATACTGTTGAAAGACGTATTGATGAAATGAGTTCTGGTATTGAAAGCTTCTTATGTAATTATTTGCAAACGACCCATTTCTCTATACAACTGGACTAGTCAACTTTATCTGATAATGCAGCATTATTATTGGCATATGTTCGTTTTATTATGAATCAAGAAATCTACGAAGAACTTCTCTTCGCAAGAACTTTGATAACCGACACTAAAGGTGAATCAATATTTCATATTTTGAAGGATTACTTCATTGAAAAAGCAATTCCTTTATCAAATATAATATCAGTAACTGCAGATGAAGCACCTGCCATGGGTGGACGTTATCGTGGATTCATAAGCTATTTAAAACAAAATGTGTCAGGGGTGTTAGCAATATATTGCGTCATCCATCGACAGCATTTAGTTGCTAAAAATTTGAGTGTTAGATTGCATGAATCACTTCATTTAGTCATTGATGCAGTAAACCGAATCCGAAGCAACGCGTTGAATACGCGGTTATATGTACAGTTGTGTGAAGAAAATGACGACCACCTTCATCAATTACTCCTTCACACTGAAGTACGCTGGCTCTCGAAAGGCTTATGTTTGACAAGAGTTTTTGCACTTTTTGAGACTATTCTAGAATTTCTGGATACTAAAGATAAAATTTTAAAAGAAAATTTAATGAAGAGCGAAACAGACATCGCCTATTTAACAGATTTGTTTACAAAATTTAATATAGTTAATTTGCAATTACAAGGCGATAGTTTAAATTTGATTAAAACAAAGTCCATCTCATCAGCGTTTCTTGCCAGAGTTAAACTAATGAAGCAAAATATTGGACGGGGCGAATTTTCTCAGTTCCCCAATTTGTCACAGACAAGCTGCCAGGAAGACGACGTTTCAACTTACGTTTAACATTTAAATGCCCTCGATTCAGATTTTGAATCTAGGTTTGAGGATATTTTGACTATGGTAATACCACCGTGGATAATTAATCCATATGGTGACATCGAAGAAACGAATGTCATAATACAAGAGGAACTGACTGAACTAAGTACAAACGAAGAACTTAAGGTTCAGTTTAAAAACGGATATCAGCAATTCTGGCTGCAAAACAACATACCCGTTACTTATCCCGTATTATGGAATATAGCGAGGAAATTTTTAATTTCCTTTCCATCGTCATACCTAGTGGAAAGGGGGTTCAGCGCTGTTACCAATCTCCTAACAAGAAAAAAGAAACAGACTGGGCATCATTAGCCGAGGAGATTTAAGATTAACCCTTACAAAATTGACGCCAAATGTTGATAATTTATTATTAAAGCATCAGGTTCATCCTTCTCACTGAAAATATTGACTTATTGCTTATGTTATTTTATTTATAGTTTATTTTATGTTTATTGATGTCTGACCAATAAATGCCCGCATTGGGAATAAGTGACCGCATTGATTTTTTTAAAGAACCCCCCTTTATAGAAAATATTTTTTTTTAATTATTTTGAAAATTCAAGGATAGGTACATAATAAAATTCTTTAATTTTTTGCCTATTTTTAGATAACTTAAACGTATAAGAAGCGGAATTTAATCAAACTAACAGTGAAATTATTGTAGAACATACGTTTATGTTATAACTAATAAACGAACTTGCTTATTGTACTATTTTAAGTAAAAAACTTTTTTTTCTTATTCCCAATGCGGGCACTTATTGGTCAGACACCTGTTTATTTAATGTTACGTATATTTTACATAACAGATACAAAATTTTATTTTGAGTAGTTTTAATTTAAATTCAATTAATAAATGTATAAATTAACATGTGTTTTTACTTTAAGTTTTTAACACTAAACTTCGCTACAGTTAGAAATTTACAGGAAATTAATATCAGGTAAGTAGGGGGTCTACCCAACACGGAAAAACATGGCAAGGGGTCTACGACACAAAAAAGTTTGAGGAACTCTGATCTAAACTGATATTTTAGAAGCCAAAATGTAGATAATATATTGACAAAAAATACGATTAATTTTTATTGTAAAAGTCATTCCCTCATCTCGTCCCTGGGTCTGAAATTAATAATAGAAAAATATATACAATCAAATCTGTTCATAATCTTATAAAGTGAATATTACTACAACTAAAGCGTGAAATCAACCAGGCAAACTAAACTTCGAAATTTTCCATTTCTTGTTCCTCTTGATGAGCATTCAACAGGACGTGCACCTTCAAGATCAAAACCACAGTGAAGTAGTAGTGGTAGTAGGTCTAAATATCGACACACATTTCTTTCATAACTTGTTTGAGACTCACCTAGCGCCTCCGTACCCCTTTACTTTTCTCCTTTTCTCAGATGTTTCGCGATGTCTGATGGCCAGCAGCTCAGCTTCATCGCGCATTTTCTCAGCTTGACTACGCTGAGGAGCAGCTTCAGCCAGGGAGCCAGCATTTTGCTCGCGCAGCATGAGCGACAGAACTTCTACCAGATGCATGTAGTATAGCCGCTCGGCAGAGGCACTGCCTATGTACAGGAGGATGTCTAAGGTACCAGATTGTCGAAGAGCCCATAAGACCTGCAGGATAAAAAGTCTCATCCAGTAACCACCAACGAATTCTGACTAGATTGATAGATAAATAGGTATTATTTATTCAATCTATTATTGAACTATGACCTTGAATACTTCAAAAAAACTTCATATCAGTGAAAAAAATTAAAATTACATCACTGAAACATAAGCTCAATAAAACCGTCACACTATACATAGACCACGTATATAAAAAGAGAACACATGTTGTAAAAAACTACAATGAGTTAAAAAGTTACCAGTCAAAACATGAAGAAGAATAGAATATAAACAACTGAATGGATAATAGAATTAAAGTTGATAAAAATAAGATAAAATGAAATAAAACAAAACTGGTGGCTAACTTCGCTGGGCATTTAAGAGCATATACATATTATCATCGGTAAGTTATTCATTGCGGGCATAGTATGATTGTCCTAGTGCTGATTTTTTTCTTGAATAATGATAAGCTTTGTAGACTCTGTGGCAGTCTATTGAATATCCCATAAACTTATAAGGGGATAATCTATAGATCTGAATGTACAAATGTCAACCAACTGCGCCAGAAAACTGATGAAGCAAAAACAAAAATTATGGGAAACGCAAATTCATTTCAAAGACTAAATAAGGGACAATTTTATTAGAAGGTGTCGCTTGTGTATAAAAAATAATGGACGCCATTTCGAGCATGTTCTTTAAAAGTAAGTTAAATTAAATTATCTTCTACAGATGTCGGTAAATCGATACAAAGAGCGGATAAACACAATAGGTTCTGTACTTGTAGGTGGTGAGGGTTATCAAAAAAAAAACCTTAAAAGGAGTTGAATCCAAACTTGCACAAATATACAGGGTCATGCATTTAATTATTTTTAGAAAAAGTACAATTTGCGTTTTTGGCCATCCTGTATGAGCAAAAATTAAGATTCGAAAAAGTAATGAATAAGATAAAAGCTGAGGTGTGTAAGTTTTTTTTGATACAAAATTCAGCACTCCAGATTTCAAACTTGCGGATTGAGGGGTTGCCGAAATGGATGGTTTTTCTGGGGAAAACACCTTACATCTCACTAGCTAATTACCAAAACCCCATAGCATGTCATATCAATCTTCTTCTTTTGAATTGGTTTATCCAAATATTTGAAAAATCACAACTTTGATATGTAGGTCGAAATTGGGACACCCTGTAAAATTACCAATATTTTAGAAATATGCCCTCAAATGTCATGTATAACATGTCATACATAGATTTTCCCAAAATGTACTTGTTTATGAGTAATATTCCGTCCACACGTGGCTGGGCCACCCTGTATATATAATTTTGGAGAGTGCAAAACATTGGACACAATTCACCTAGAGATTCTAAAAAATGTAGCCAAATCCGAATCCAATTCTCAAGTCTTTGTTGACCACTTAATTATTAACATCTGGTAATTTTCAAAAATAAATCTGTACACTCATTTATCATGGGCAAATCATATGAGGCAATTTTATCTCAAACTCTTTTTGTTCTATTTTTCTGGTAAATATAATATTGTACAAGTTTAATTATTGTATAGTCAAGAGCAATTCATACTTTTTCGATTTTCCGTATCCCTTATTACTACTATATCGCTACCTGATCATGCACATTGGCATCATCATCTGGTCGAGCCTCAGAAGGATCCGCAGGAGCATACAAAACGTTCCGGATTAACAGCAAGATACGTTCTACAGTGAGACTGTGATCTTCACTACGTTCACTGGGATCCTGAAACAAATGAAATAATAATAATAATAAACCGTCTTTTATTTTGAAAGAAAATTCAGTATAATGAAAAGATATATACTAAGTGACATATAAATCCGAACACCCAGTTTAAATGGTTTTATTTTAATAAAAGTTGGTGAATGTATTTATCTTACTGTAAATAACAAGTGAAAAAATGTTCAGCCTTATCAGTTGGACATTCCGGTTTTTATACTGCTTTTTTTTAATTCACTAACGCTCTAAAAATGAATATTTCAGCCGCAGTAAAGAATCAACGTTGGCGGATTTTGGTTCTTGACATCCTTTACGATCGGTTACGATGCCTAGAGTACGGAGACCTGTACGATTTCGTCAACTTAATGAGTTTGATAGGGGCCGTATAGTGGGACTTCGGGAAGCTGGACTTTCTTTTCGGGCAATTGCAGTTAGAGTGCAAAGAAGTGTAGACACTGTGGTTAGGTGTTGTCAGGCATGGCTTCGAGAAGGCCGTACGCAAAGAGCAAGGGGCACTGGACGCCGCCGTAGAACAACAGACCGTGAAGATCGCCGCCTAAGATTATTGGCCTTAAGGGACCGTTTCTCCACTACCAGGTCCATTGCAAATGAATGGTTTGCAGAAAACGGAAGACCTATTGGCATGCGAAGTGTTTACCGACGAATGAGAAGTTTTGGCTTGTTTTCATACCGGCCACACTGGGTCCTCCCTTTAACTCGCGAACACCGACGTAATCGCCTTGAGTGGTGCAGATAACGGTCACTCTGGGATCAGGAATGGAACAGTATTGTCTTTAGTGACGAGTCTCGATTTTGTTTAGGCATGCACGATGGTCGTGCCAGGGTTAGAAGGCGACGTGGTGAAAGGAGGAATCCACAGTTTTTTGTTGAAAGACATGTTCATCACACTGTTGGAGTTATGGTTTGGGGTGCTATAGCTTATGCTTCCGGGTCACCTTTAATCTTCATCAGAGGTAACATGAACGCGCAGCGTTATATCCACGAAGTTCTAGAACCCCATCTTTTACCCTACCTTGACACCCTGGCAGATCCATTTTTCCAACAAGATAATGCCCGACCACATGTTGCAAGAGTCACAATAGACTTCTTTCAACATAATGATGTCACATTGTTACCATGGCCACCAAGATCTCCCGACTTATCCCCAATTGAGCACGTGTGGGATATGATGGGTAGGAGATTGCTCAATTTGCAACGTCCTCCTCAGACTCTAGAAGCACTTCGAGAGGAGTTGGTGGTTCCCTGGAATGAGATACCACAGGAGGACATTGACCACCTGATCACAAGCATGCCTAGGCGCGTTGGAGAATGCGTAGCACATCAGGGTGCATCCACACATTATTAAAGGTCAAAGGGCTTTTAAGCAGTGCAATCATTTTGAAATTTTTATCATTTACTTATTATGCTTCATTAAGTACTTATACAAAATTTTATTAGAATAAAACCATTTAAACTGGGTGCTCGGATTTATATGTCACTTAGTATATATAATACGAGTGTCGAAGTCCAGCTGACGGCTACTCTACTCAACCACTGGAGCTGAGCACCCAAATATACTCTCAGTATCCATGAAGCGAATTTAAAAACACCCCTTGCCTTCCATTCCACAAGAGATGACGTAAATGTATGAGAAAGTTTCTCTCATACATCTATCTCAATCATTTTGACAGCATCATTTAAATATCATGAAATTCAAATGGGTTCCACTAAGGTTTAGCCTCGTTATAGAACACTTCAAACATGTATTGATCATAATGTAAAGAAATGTAAAAATCTGTATGTATTGTTTCATCACCAAAACGTGTTCAATATAAATCAATACCTTAAGCTAAAACGAAAAACTATATTCTCATAGTCATAGACTGTCAAACTCTCAAACACACTAAGGCCTCTTTTTATTGAGCTTCACTTATCGGCTTCAGTACGGCTGCTGGAGATCACTGCACTATAGGAATATATTGGAAGTGTGTCTATTGCCCTCCTAGGAAGTCGGACAAAGTTATACAAATTTTATTCATGTGATGAAAAGTGCGGTCCTTTTACCTCAGACCTGCCCCATGAATACAAGGATATGCAAGTTGGAAAGCTAATTCCAAATCAAATTTATTGTATAACATAAATGTCATTGCTCCCATGAAAAATGGAGTCAGTTAGATTGACTAAGTGCTTTCCATGTGAGGATATGGGAAAGCTTCCAAAATACGAACTAATTTTAATTTTTTTATCATTTTTAGAGCTAGGTAGAGGTGAGTATCTCGTGAATCTTGACCGTTTACATAAAATGCGCAAGGCCCCTTTGTTTCAATTTGAATACTTAAAATCCAGGCATTTCTGAAAACACTTAGGATATTTTAAAATATTATATTGCATCGAGGCATTCAGAAACGCTTCGCAACGTTTCGAGGCATAACGTCTGGAAACATTCGAGCGGCGTAGGCGCATGGAGAGCCTCTTTTGCTGCCTTTGCCTGTTTGTAGTTTGTACTTCTTTTTCTCCTTTTATCACCAAATTAGTTCCAAGATGTGATCATCCTACAGTCGATATAAAACTTGGTAGGAATTTCAAAGATTATCAATGAAACCATCAAGCAGCTATGTGGAACGTGATTAAATCCAATGGTGTGCAATCATCAAAAGCACATTCGTCTACTCTCAACGCGAATGATTTAAACTCTTTCTTCGTCAGCATTGCTGAAACCATTATCGCTGAAATTCAAGCTACCCAGTCGAACTTCAAAGATTTTATACAGACTAGAGATACACTACATTTCAACTTTCGAACTGTTTCATTCAATGATGTTCGAGACGCAATCAAAAGCTTAAAGAATTCTAAAAGTAAAGATCCATATGACATCGATGTTAAAATTATGAAGACCTTAAATAACTTGTTAGTATATCCTATAACAAAATTGATAAACATGTGTATAGAAAATAATGTCTTTCCTGCCTTATTAAAACTTGCAAAGATTGTGCCACTCTTCAAGAAAGGCTGTGAGAATGATCCATGTAATTTCAGACCCATCTCTATAATACCAATTATAGCAAACATTTTCGAAATTCTTCTGAAGAATCAGATATGTGAATACTTCGAAGGTAACAATTTATTCTGTAACAACCAACAGATCAACGAAAGCAGCAATAAACAATTTTATCAGTTTCATCAACAAATGTCTGGAAGATAACATGTTTGCTCTCGCTAACTTCTATGATCTTACAAAAGCATTTGATTGTGTCCAACATCACATTTTGATTCAAAAGTTGTCGCTGTATGG